CTCAAAGAAAACTCGAGGAGGAACAGGTGCCGCTTCTGATTTCACTTATAACTCTCTTTCTAAGGCTGCTTTCTTTAATTCTTGATTGCGGATTGTTATTGAGACTCCTGCTAGTAGATAGATAAAGATCAGCCAAACCACATGCACCTTCGAAACCCTTTTCTTGCTTCAGAAAGATGGATCTCCAATACATTACAATGATTCTTTAGCATTGCTATTATGTTTAGATTATGTGGGAGTGTTTAGCATGTAGGCTGGTTTGGACAAGATCATAGTGAAGGCGGTTCTCTTGTTACTAATTACGGTATTGTCCTCTGAATGCTGTTGCAGGAGCTAGAGAGGCAACTAGGTGCAAAAGAAGCGTCTCTACCTAAAGAGCCACAAGCAGACGAAGAGAATGCCATTACCCTTCTAGTCCGGATGCCAGATGGAACTCGACGTGGCCGCCGGTTCCGTAAATCTGACAAACTCCAGGTGAGTTTCCCCAAAAAAATCCATTTCACGGTGCTATTCCATTTCTAAAATTACATATCTAAATAACTGTCCATGGCGCTGTTTTGCAGTCTCTTTTTGACTTTATCGACATTGCCAGAGTGGTGAAACCCAACTCTTACAGACTGGTAAAAAAACTTCTGCCTCTTCATATATTAATTTCTCTCTTTTGACATATAAAACGCCCTTGAGTCACGCCTAAGGATGTTGTGACCACCAATTAAACTGGTCATGGCAGGGCTGGTCCAGTCAGGCCCGGCTAGCCAGCGGTTAAGTGACATAGAGTAACAACAAAAATTATATGCTTGACTGGTTTGGGTGTGATGAAAACAGGTGAGGCCATATCCGAGGCATGCGTTTGGGGATGGAGAAAGTGACTCGACGCTGAACGATCTCGGATTGAACAGCAAACAAGAAGCATTGTTCCTTGAGCTTATCTGAGTTTAAGTTTAAGCTCTTAAATATCATCAGACTTGCATTTGTCTTCTGCTTAGAAACTCTTTTTTATTTTCAAGTTATTTTTTATCATCTTTCTTTCTATAAAAGAAAAATATTTGTTGAAGAGGGATTATAAGTTATATAAAAACCATCATCGCTGAGTCGTTTATAGGAGAGATAAACCGAGAAACATCTATGCATTATACTTATAAGTGGTATAGAAAAAATCCTTAATCATATTTGAAAACAAAATCGTATTAATGGCAAATGTGTTCATTCATTAAACCGTAACAGCAAGAAGTTGCAAAAAACCACATGACTTGGGGATTGTAAGCACCACTCAATCTTTCCGTAAATCTCTTGTTCGTTGCATCTTTCAAGTAAAGCACACCAAATCATAGTTTTTTTAGGGCCATTATCATGCACATTCTCCTCCCACATAACCACAATTTTTCCTCCATAATCCGCCAATCTAACAAACTCGCAATCGTTGGGTAATTTGGTAAAGTTTTCCAAACCCTTCAAAAGTCTCCACAATGTTGCCTTCGAGTCGTACCATTCAAGCAGCCCGAACATCCCGTAAGAGTAGATTATGTTGTCTATCACGCAAGAAGAAGAACTGGAAACCCGACCTAAAAGCGTCTCTAAACTTCTTACCACAGCCCATATAGTTTCCTTAGGCTTGTAAACCATTCCTTTTTCCATAAACAAGTAAAGCTTTCCGTCGATGGCCAAGCTTTTGGAAAAAAAATTCCATCGTTTCGCCGTTCTAGGGCTGGGCACTAACTCCCATATTTGAGTTTTGGGATCGAAAAACTAAATTAAAAGAGAAGAAGATTGAACATTGTAGCTTTCCACTACATATATCTTCCCATCTAGAACATTCGCGAGAGGGTATTTCGGGCCCATTAACATGCTTGGAGCTTCGTGCCACGTGTGAGACCGACAGTCCATGAAGGACGACTCGAAGGCAACATTGTGGAGACCTTGGACGTAGGGGAACCATTGACAAATCCACCAATATTGTAAATATTAGAACCCCATGCTACAAGAGTCTTCCAATACGAAGGGAAATAATTGGCGTCGGGAATGAGACTAAGAGATTGTCAGTTGGCTTCTCCTCTTTCTTCATAATATTGTCCGTTGGGGTTCTATATGGTCTCCGACATAGAGTGAACCAACGTTTGTAAAATACAGATTCGAAACTTAGCACACATAAAGACAAGTACCAGAAATACCCTCTCGCGATCGCGAATCAGAAAAGTGTGCAAACCGCTTGTTTGCTATTTTGAAGTTAAGAATCGGCGAAACAAACAACTTACACGCTAGAAAATGTAAGTTGTTTTGGAGGTTTTTTTTGGTTTCAAAATGTAAGTTGTTTTGACAATCTTAAGTATTTTTTAACTTTATTGAATATTGTGTGATCAATAGTATTTTGCAATCTTTTGTATGATTGGTCAAATTATTTTTATTAAATATATTAAATGATACTTTTTAGTAGAAAAGTAGTTTCATAATATCCGCGTTTTTAGCTAAAACAACTTACATTTTGAAACAGATGGAGTA